AGGTAGGCTTATGGACCTGACGAAGGTTGGTTTTAGAAGCATTTGGGAGGCAGAGTTTAAAAAAAAAAGTTGGTGCCTAATTAAGAAGAGGAAGGAAAGAGAGGGTCTGAAGAAGAGCAGTGAGGCTTTGAGTTTGGGTCCCTATATGGCAGAGAGATACAAGGAGATGAGAACACGGAAGGGAGACAAGGTTGGAAAGAAGGTCAGGAAGCTCTTGGATGTGTGGGTTGCTCAAGGGAGATGAAGCTAGAGAGAAGGATTTTGGAGTGTCAGCACAGAGGTGGTAATTGAAGTCTTGGGACAGTTCTTGGCTCATTGGTCATTGGCTGCATGTTTCTGTCTTTTAAATATTTTAGGAGGCTCTGCTGGTGTGTGCCCAAGCCATTCCTTCTGACTTGTGATGACTTAACCCCTTAGCTTGGGCTCCCCTTCTTCCAGCAGGCCCTTGAGAGCTGGCTCTGGGGTACAGGCTTGTCTGTATGATGCAGCCTACTCCCTTCCTTGTCAGAACTCAGCATGGACCAGCTTTGGATACCTCAGAGGCTCATCAGAGTTTGGGGGCAGAACAGTGAGTCCTCAGAGCTAAAAGAAAATACAGGCCTTTCGGAGTGGGTTATTTGGAGAGGGTGGGCTTCATCACTGCAGGATTCTAAGAGGTACTGCGAAGATCCCACTCTGACTGAGGGACTGGACTGAAAGGGCCCTAGGGTTTCTTGTGATATGTGATTCTCAAACTGGATCTAGGTGCTGGAGTGAAAAAATAAGATTCTTCTGAGATACCCTGATTTCTGGGCCTGAAGGTACTGAGAGAGTGTCTATGCCAATCTTGCCCTCTATGGCTGAATGCTTTAGAACACCCTCATATTGGCAGCCATTTAGCACAATCCCTGGTGCGACTGCATGCCAGGCGTTCACTCATGTAGACCTGCTTTGAGTCCCAACCCTCCTGTGTGACCTCAGCTACAGTACTAAATTCTCTGCACCTTAATGTTCTCATCCCTAAAATGGGAAAAGTAGCACTTACCTCCCAGTACTGAGGATCAGTGAAATCCGACTGAGTTAGAAGTAATTAATGGAGCCTCAATAATAACTGTCTCCCAGCCCCTCAATATATTAACTGTAGCTTATTTGTAATCAACTAAAGACCCAGAGGTAGTTTATCTGTGATGCTTTAGAAACCATGATTTCTGAGTTCTGTTTTTCCCTCCCCCCTTTTTCACAATCTTATGTTTATCAGTATGAAATATGCTTGGAAAAACTCTCAAAAGGGTTGGCAGCATGAAGTGCTATAAAAGAATGTGGAGCCAGGAACACTGTTTTTCATTTCTGATTCAAACTTTTCCTAACAACTCAGTGGCTCTGGGAACCAGCGTACTGCCTTCCCCAAGCTTCCTCCCCAGTCTGGATTCCACCTCAGGTGGTGTTTCTGCCTCCTCAGTCATGTGCAGGCCGAAAGCCTGAGTCATGCTAAACACTTCTCTCCCCTCACTTCCCCTCCATCTCTTTCCTAATCTAATTAGTTCCCAAGTCATGTTGAGTCTAACTCCGAAATAGCTTGAGAATCCACACTGTTCCTCCCTGTTCCCGAGTCCACTGTCTGGTTCATGCCCTCCCTGCCTGGTACTTGGGCTGCCGCTGCCCCGCTAGCACATCCCCCACACCGCTGGTGAATTCTCTAAGCAAGGCTTTGATCATGTTCCTCCCTACTGGAAACCCTTCTGTGGTACTCTGTTTTCTCCAGCATGAAATCCCAACTCTTTAAAGTGGCGCTCCTTTGTTCAAATATTTATGGAGGTTGGCAGGTGCCAGGTACTGTGCCAGGCCCTGGGTTACCATGATGACAGGCCCAGCACCTGTCCCTGGGGAGCCTCTGTTGGGTGGAGATGCAGGTAAGACAACTGCTAACTGAAAGGTGATGGGAAAGGTGGTTGGCCAAGGCATGTGTAAAGTGCCTTTCTGGATTCACACTGGATTCTTTTTTTCAGCTCCTTCCCTGACCACATCATGTTCACTTTGAAGTCTATGCTGTCTGTCTTCTGCCTTCCGTCTGGAGCATCCTTCCCTGCCTTCTTTTAGGGGGATGCCTAGGCATCTGATACTGCTTCTCTTCTTCCAACTCCAGTATTACTGCTTCCTTATCCAGGAAGCCTTTGTGATTCACTTCATAAATTGTTCATGTGATTGCTCCTTTCTTCATTCAGCAAACAGAACAGATCCCTCTGTCCTTGCTGCCTTCCTAGCATGTAAGAAATTTTTCTGCTGGCGTTGATCAGATTGTTTTGTGATGATGTGTGGGTTCCTCAAGGGCAAGGCCAGATTTAATGTTATGCTCTGAAATACTTGCTGAATGAAGTCATTTCATAGCTCAGCACTCAGTTTCTTCATCTGAGAAATAGGCCCTCTAACACCTTCCCTTTTTCTGTTAGGTGATCATTGGTGACATTCTGCCAGTAGTGTTTCCCTATGTGAAAGTGCCTTATGGGGCTTTAGCATGGGAGAGAAAGGAGAGGGTTTTGTTGCTGTCAGACTGCTCCAGATGCACAGGCCCTGCAGTGTGACAGTTGGAAGGGCAGACACCCTGCCTGGCTATGTCTGCTTTGCTGCCCTGGGAGCATGTCCCGGATGGGAGAGCTGTGTCTCAGGTCCCCCTGGCTAAGGAGAGCTTTGCTCGCAGGGCTTCTGGGAGCAGCTGCTTTGTGGCTCGGTGTCCAGCATGCCCTACCCTGGAATCCTGTGCCCTGTTGTTTAATGAAGGAGCACTGTAGCCGAAGGCAGTGGGAGTCATTTGGTACGGGCTGCTGTGCAGGGAGTGGTCCCGCCCACTTCTGCCTTCTACTCCTGGGGACTGGAGCAAATCCGCTTCCCCCTCCCAGCCTTAGTTTCCCCATCTGTAAAATGAAAGTTAAGGTACACTATGGCCTTTGGGATACCTCTTCTGTCACACTTCTCCAACCCCCTTGGGAATCTTGTTAATGTTGAAGTGCCAGATGAAATGTCCTTTTCTTGTGGAATCCTTCTCTGATTTTACCCTTTTTCCATTGCAGTTCCATGCCAAGTGGTTTATGTGTCTAAGTTAAACACCCATTTTTAAAAAATGATGTTCCATTAAGGTGTTATAGAGTATCCCCATACCCTCCTGTTAATTGGGAGTTCCTTCAGAGTATCTTACTTTTACCCTGCAGGGTTTACCTGGCCCAAGACTTGCTGATAGTAGCAATTTGTATGAAAAGAACAATAGCAGCAATGCTTTATCATTTGCTTATTCCAGGCATTATTGTAAGAACCATTTTTCTTCTATTAGTGGTTTGCAGACTCTCTTTTGGGACATTCTAAGGGTTCTTCTGAGTTCTTTCAGAATCTAGTAAGGCAGGAGGGCCCATGGTCAGGCCTCTGGAACTCCCCCTAGCTTCAGCCAGAGCTAGTTATTATTTTGATTGATTTTGTCTATCTTACCAAAGGATTCCTTAGCTAAAAGTTAAACTAACTGAATTTTGCTGCATATATTTTTGCAATACATGGAACAATCTAACAAGGAAAGGAATATTATATTTTATGAAGAAGCAGGCATGAACTCAGCCAGTGAGAGCAGAGATTTGAATCAAGATCTGTCATGATTTCATTGCCCATGAGAGCCTTGCTTCTGGGGAGCTTGCGGGGAGGAAGAGGCCCCATGATACTGAGTGGGTGAGGTGTCAGGGCTGCTTCCTGCCCTCTCCCGAGAGCTTCCCTTCCTTGCTTTCTCCCTTTTAGATGAAGTATGAGTTTGGCTTTAGCCTTGAGAGTAACTGTCTCAGGAATTATCAAACACAATAAAAAGAGAAAGCCCACATTTTCAGTGCTAGGCCACTGGGGCATCTATGAGTTGATCTGGAACCTTCTGGAACCTATACTGTCCTCAGAACCTGGCCAGCTGCTCTTTGTGTGCTTGACCTCTGTAGGGCTGCAGATATATTGGTGATGTGCTCTGCCAGGCCTGGCGCTGGCTATCGGGGGACATATAGTGGAACACTGCAAGCCTCATAGGTCACTGACCTGTGGCATGTAGAGATGGACAGGAGTCACATTGCTCCTACGTATGTTGAACTGCACAAGTGGCCTGGCCTTTGAGCGAGGAGACCTGGATTCTTTGCCTAACCTTTTCCATAGTCTGTGTATAACTTCTCTGGACTTGAGTTTCCTCTTCTGTATAGAAGGACTAGTATTAATAGTTAATGTGGATCAAGTTCTTACTCTGTGTCAGGTCCTGTGTCCAGTGATTCACATAACTGGGCTCTTTGTATTCATATAGTGGCTGAGGTAGACACTATTATGAGTTCCATTTCACAGCAGAGGTTCTGAGTCTTAACCAAGGGCGAGTCATTATTCTAGTTGGCAAAACCTGGATTTGAGCTGACTTTTTTCACCATTGTGCCACATTAGCTTAGGAGTGGGTCTTCCCTTCCTGCCTCGGAGTTGTGAGTGAAGGTAGGGAAATGTGTTTATGTTGAGCTAGCATAAAGTAAGGAAGATGTGCTGTAAATGGATACTACATGTAGGTGCAGCATTGGTCACTGATGCGTGCCAGAGCTGTGTGGCAGATGGAGTCTATGCTGTGAATTCTGCAGATGAAGATGAGAATTACAGAGTGGACATTTAGAATTCTATTTGATTCATTTGACTACTCATTTACATAATAAATATTTACTGAGCACCCGTTGCACACTGGGAACTGGTGATAAAGCAGCAACCCAGACATGATCCCACCCTAACCCGTTGGTGTACAGTAAATGGGGAGTCAAGAGGGCACGATTCCAGGCTTGACTCTGCAGGCCATTGCTGGTGTGACTTTGGATACAGCTTACTTAGAAGCCTCAGGTTTCCTATCTAAGCAAGCGGGTTGTAATTCCAACCCTGCCAATAAAATCAGCTGAAAGAATGGCAGTGGAAGTGCTTTATAGCTATAAAGTACCACACTGTGGGTTGTTTCTGGCCTCATCATTCTGACTGATATCTTCCCACAGGGCTGCCCTGGAGCTGCAGGACAGGCACCTGGAGCTCCTCCAGGCAGCTACTACCCAGGGCCTCCCCATGGTGGAGGACAATATGGTGGTGGTTATGGGGGTCCTGCCCCTGGAGGACCTTATGGACCACCAGCCGGCGGAGGGCCCTATGGACAGCCCAGTGCTGGACCTCCAGGAGGACCCTATGGTGGCGCAGCTCCTGGGGGCCCTTACGGTCAGCCACTCCCAAGTTCCTATGGTGCACAGCAGCCAGGACCTTATGGACAAGGTAAGTAGTATCTTGGACTCTGGGTGCCTGTGACCTGGTTTTGAGTTACTCAAAGCCCATCCTTGACCTTTATCTTGGTCCCTGGGACATTTGCATTTTGTTTTCTGTCTGTGTCAGCAGGATAAGGAGGCTGTCAGCTTCGTGGTGGCACCAGCAACTCCAAAATCTCCCTGGCTCACAGCAAGCATTTATTTCTATGGCTTGCTCATACTTATTTACTCTTGCTTATGTGTCAGCAGCTGCAGGTTGGCAGCTGAATTTCTATTCATGTGTCTTTATTCTGGGACCCAGGCTGAAGGAACATCCCTTATTTGGGATGTTATCCTTGTGACAGAAAAAAAGAAAAGAAAGCTCACAGAGACGGTCAGTGCCTCTTAAAGGTGGTGCTCTGAAGAGCCACATGTCTGTTTATGTTCTTGTGGCTAAAACACATCCCCTGGACAGGTCTGGCATCCATAATACGGGAATGCATGCTTGTTTCATGGAGGAGCTCTGTGAGTCACAGGTAGCCAGAGAGGAGCTACAATGCTTTCATAGGGAAGAGGAGGTCAGTAAATAATTGGAGCAGTAATGTACTCTGCTGGGAGAGAAAGCCCATTCCTGTGTGAGGGGGTCTGGCTGCCTTTACAGCAAGGCAAGACTGTAGTTTTGAAAGATTGGCTTTGAGGTCGAACTCCCTACTGACCTGACCGACCCTTTCAACTGTAAAGCTTCAGTATCCACACCTATAGGTGGGAGCAATGCCACGACCTCCTATGGTTGTTTATAAGGATTAAATGAGAAAGTGTCTGGCTCATGGGAAGGGCTTAGTAAACAACATTCTGTGAGAGGACTCATTCTAGGGCATTCTGAGAGAGGGAAGAACTTAGCATTTAATATGATAGCAAATGTGACATGAGCCTTACTGTCAAGAGATGCTGAGGCAGGCAGGAGGATGAGTGGGGGAAAGGAACAGCAGAGAAACAAGGCGAGGTGCTAGGCAAGGTGGGCGGGGCAGGAGCTGAGAGATTTAATAGGTGCGGAGTAGCCTTGGCTGGGGGCTTTGACCTCAGTGAAATTTCTGAGCAGTCTTAGGATCAGGATGAGGAGATAGCCCTCACCTCCCGCCAAGTTCATTTCCCAGCTTCTTCACAGAGTGATTGTTTCTAGGAGACTAAGTCACCAGCGAGGCAGCCGGGAACCATTTTGGTGCACAGGAAGGGCCTCCAGGGAATGCCCTTCTGGGAAACAGGAAGCATCTGAGTGCCTTTACTCAGGCATGTGGCCTTAGAGGAGCCTCTCAAATCTTGGGGGTTCTGAGCACTGCCAACCAATGGGATTTAATCTCAGAGCCCAGAGAATCTGGCCTTTTGCCTTCAGCTCAGCAGTGCCTCAGGAGATTTCCCCATCCTTCTTAACACCTTGTCTCTAAGCCCATTAAAGAAGTCAATGCAGAGAAAGAAGCCCCTGATTCAAGGCTTAATCACTCCAGGCCAGAGGCTAGAAGTAATATCTAGGGCTGGAAAGAGTTCACCTTCTGATACTTTCTTTTGTTTAGCTTTCACCGCCTCCTTTCCCCAGCGCCTAGTGACACCCCTCCCTCTAGGCAGTGCTACAGAAGGCATGGTCCGTGCCACACCTGCATCGATGACTCTGGGAGGTGCCACCATCAGTGGTTGAGTACCACTGTTCTGGGAAACAGATTTGAGTATTAGAGGTGCCCCCCCAGGAACATTCTAGTGGCCCAGTCCAGCTTCCTCACCTGTTATCCCCCCTCCCCTCCCACCAGCCCCAGACCCCTCGGAGTTGAGTACACTGTGTGCCTGCAGCTGCTGACACATAAGCAAGAATAAAGAGAAAAGCCATTTGCTCTGTCTTTTCCTCATCATCCTTTCAGACTCAGCTGTAATATCCCTTCCTCTGAAAATCTCTAGCCCCACCATTCCAGGGCCTTTGCTAAAAGCCTTATTTTGCTGTTATCATTTAATCATTGCAGTCACCCTGGGAAGTGGATTCATATTAGAAATGGGAAAATCAGTACTCTGAAAATTATACATTTAACTTAAAGACACCCAAACTACTAAGGATCCGAGCCAAGATTTGAATCCAGCATGCTTTGATTCCAAACCCTAAGCCCTTCTACGTAAACCACAAGGTCCACATATTTTGTAAAACTCACCGTCAGGGTTGTGGCCCTCCCTCATTAACTGCTGTTACTGGAAGATAGGTGGCACCTGCCTGGATTTCCTGTGCACGCTCAGACTCAACCCTCTACCAGGCAGATCTTTTTTTTTTTTTTTTCTTTTCAAAGTTTTATTGATAAACATATAGCAATGAGACAGTTTCAAATCAAATCGAAAGTACAGTTTCAACAAATAATATACTGCATATATTCTTCTTGGTGGTTAATTGCTGTACAAGATGCAGACTTGTGATCCTACTTACAAACACCATTAGAAAAAATCATTCTATTCATTAAGAGAATGCAACTATATATCTATCCCAACCACTTTGAATACACAGATACAAAATGGACATTCATAGTTATACCCCAATTTTTTTAAGTTCCGTTGTTGAATATTATAGGTGTGTAAACTCAGCAAAATATTCTAAAAGAGTCCAGTAGCCCATAATAGCATTGGGCAGGCAGATCTTTTTCCCTCTGGCCTCATCTTTGGTACTGGGTTGTGGTTTCTGTCCTGCATAACTACCACAGCTGTCTGCCACTTTTCTTGGTGTGAGCCCCTTTGTGGCAGTTAACTCTCTTAAAATTTTCAAAGATAGCCTTCTCTGATTCTCCACTCTCATCTGCCATCCTATCTCTGTTTACCATTTTCAGAAAAGTATTGATGTGCTAGAGGGGGACAGGAAACATAAACAGAGAAGTGATTGGGGCACTGTTCAGAGTGTCTGAAAGATTCTTGAAGCAGAAGCCAACTAAAAATGCTTGTAGGTCTGCTGAAGGCCTCTTTCATTATAGTAAGAATGTCAGCTTGATGAATAACTATAAGCAGATTTGTGAGGCTTTGTGGGGAGGGAAACCCTGTAGCTGGTGAGGCGCTGAAGCTTTGGGCATTCTGTAGATTGGCCTTGAGGCCTGGGCCTGACTCCCTGGGTTCACCTGCCTCTCCCCAGGAGGTGCTCCTCCCAATGTGGATCCTGAAGCCTACTCCTGGTTCCAGTCTGTGGACTCTGACAGAAGTGGCTACATCTCCATCAAGGAACTGAAGCAGGCTCTGGTCAACTCCAACTGGTCCTCATTCAATGATGAGACATGCCTCATGATGATAAGTGAGTCCTGGCCCTTCTTTGTGGGCCTGAGCTTGGGCAGAGCCACCTGACAGTAGGCACTAGGTGGGCAGGCATCCACCCTGAAGACAAGTCCTTTGGCCAAGGAGAAAGTTGAGTGCAAAGAGAATCCCTGGACTGAGAGCTCTTTCCCTTGGATCTTTCTTAAGTTTTAGACCCAGGAGTTATACATTGACTCAGTTTCCCATTCTGCATGAAGTAATTCCCTCCCCTAGTAGTAAACAGCAAGGGTTGGGATCTGGGTGGACTCAAGTCCTGAGACTCAGTGACCCCACTGGTGAAGAGAACAGCTGTGAGTGGGATTGGACTGAGGGTGGCTGGGGTGAAGGCTGATGCTGTATTTGATGTTAGCATCTTAGGCACAGGCATCTGGACCTCAGGTCTGTGGTTCTGTGGTCTCCCAAGCCAGCCTGGTGAGAAGGGCTCCCTCAGTGATATGCATGGCCCTCAGTATTGAAGCCTTCCTCTCCTCCCTGCTGCCCCTCAGACATGTTTGACAAGACCAAGTCAGGCCACATTGACGTCTATGGTTTCTCAGCTCTATGGAAATTCATCCAGCAATGGAAGAACCTCTTTCAGCAGTATGACCGGGACCACTCAGGCTCCATCAGCTACACGGAGCTGCAGCAAGGTGAGGGCTTGGCAGGGGCATGGTGGGCAGGCCAGACCTCGACTTTTTACTCCCGAAGACAGAACAAAGGTTAAGTATCCACTGCTAGCCCAAAATGTTGCTCTCACTGTAGGCCCACTTGCCACACTGCGGTGACCTGGTTGGAGTGCTCAGTTGGGATCCAGAGCAAGGAGAGATTGGGTGTAGAATGAGGGCTGGAGCACCCGGTGGTAGGATACCCAGCCAGACTGGCCATGCTGGGTGACGTGGCCCCAGGTGGCAGGGAGCCTAAGAGATGGAAACTTGATGCTGTGGGGCTCATGGAGACCAATGTGTTTTGTTTGTATGGTCACTTCCTTTCATTCCTAGCATGGAGGATGGAAAGAGTTCCATGCAGGGCCTCAGAAAGAGGCGCTGTATTGGTACCTCTGCCGGAGGCAGTGCGTCTCTCCCAGCTATGGGACTCAGAGCGCTCTCAGAGTTGTAGTTAGGCAGGATGACCAGAAGACATGGGTCCAGGTCTGTTTCTAATCCTACTCTGTAAGGCCAGTAGGGGAAAGGACAGGTGGCTACTGGATCTTTGGGGATCCAACAAAAGAGTGCTGTCACTGAGGAGGAGGAGCAGGCTGCTGGAGTCCAATCCCTTGCCCCAGCTTTGAGTCAGACTAAGAGAGTGGTAGGAGTGCGTGTGCCTTATCTGCCCTTGGGAGAGAGGAGATGATCATTATTCTTGCCAGTTTCTGCCACGAATGTGGGTAAGGATGGCACTCATAGCAGCAAAACTAGCATTTAGTGAAAGCGTGCTATGCCTCAGGCACTGTAATAAGCATCTTTAATAGATGTATAGAACTCATTCTGCCCAGGAGTTAGATCCTATTTATTATTCCATACCTCTGGTGAGGATCCCTTATGGTCTCCATTCTACAAATGAGAGAAATGAGACTTAGTGTACATAACTTGCCTAAGGGCCCACAGAACTAAAGGAGAGCTGAGATTTGATCCTGAGCTGGTAAGTTATGTGGAGAAGAAGGCAGGAGGCATGTCCATGGGAGATGGCTGTGCATGCAGGCTGCAGTCTTGCAACCATCCCAGAAGTCTCATAGGGAGACAGATTCTATTAAAACAATACTTACTGAGTGCCAGGCACAATGCTAAGTGCAGGACACAATCACCCCCTTTAATTCCTACAGAACCAAAGGGCCGGCCAAATAGCTCAGCAGATTAAAGCACCTGCAAGCAGGTGCAAGGGCTAGGGGTTTGATCTCTGGGTCTGCTGTGCCGGCCCTGCCCCCTGGGATGCACTGAGACAGAGATTGAGACTGGGTGAGGTGGCACACGCTTGTAATCCCAGCTCTTGGGAGGCTGTAAACAGGCAGATCACTAGGAGTCCAATCTAGTAGTGAGACCCTGAACACCCTGTAGACCCTTCTCTAAAAATACAGAAAAGATTTTTGGATTATTAAGTGCTATGAAAAATATTAAAAATGTTCTCCAACATCAAAAAATAAAAATAAAAATACAGAAAAAATAAATTCTTACAGAACCCACAAGATTAAATGCCAGCCCCATTTTAGCAACAATGAGACAGAAGGGTAGAATTTTTTTTTTTTTTTTTTTTTGGAAACTTGAAATGCCTTTAGGGCATTTCTCGTTTGCAGTGACTCTCTGGTTTGGAACCCCAGAACCTTGAATGAGGGATTGAACTCAGGCCCTTGTGCTTGCTAGGCAAGCACTTATTCTACTGAGCTATCTCCCCAGCCCCAAGACAGAAGGGTGGAAAAGGGCTAAGCAGCTTGCACAGGCCAGAGTGTGACTTCTTGCATTGTTCTTCTCCACATAACCTTCCAGTCCAGGATCGAATCCCAGCTCTCCTTTAGCTCTGTGGGCCGTTAGGCATGCAGCTTGACCTGGGCTGGGCTGCTGTGGATATCTGCCCTGGGTGGGGTGGTCCTGGGGGGCTTGGGCTTGCTTCTGTATGCAGATGAGCCAGGAATGATCACAGTTAAACCACTGTCACGAGCCCAGATTAGATAACAGCATGGGCGATTTGGCAAAAGAGGGGGACCTTCTTAAGAAGGGGAGCAACTAGACAGAGTCCCTGTTGTGCTCCTGACATCTTGACAGATCTTGGGACTTCACTGTCTCTTGATGCTTCTGTGCCGGTCCTCTCACAATCCCCTGCTCTGCTGTGCTCCTGTGTTGCCAGTTGATGGAGGTGCTCATGGCAGGCCTGTGTGTCTGTTCTCTGTGCCCCCTTCTTCAGCTCTGTCCCAGATGGGCTACAACCTGAGCCCTCAGTTCACCCAGCTGCTGGTCTCGCGCTACTGCCCGCGCTCTGCCAATCCTGCCATGCAGCTCGACCGCTTCATCCAGGTGTGTACCCAGCTACAGCTGTTGACTGAGGCCTTTCGGGAGAAGGACACCGCTGTACAGGGCAACATTCGGCTCAGCTTTGAGGACTTTGTTACCATGACAGCTTCTCGGATGCTATGACCCAACCTCCAAGGACCTTTCCTGGCTCTTTAATGTGGGAGAAGCATGTGGGCCTCTCTGTTCCTGTCCCTTTTAGAAATTCTTCCTTGCTTGATGCAGCACAGTTCCCAGGGGTTGGAAGGCCTACATCATAGCCACCATATAGTGAGGCCCTGGCCTGTGGCAACACAGGTAAGAGCTTGAATGAAAAGAAGACTGGAAGTTGAATGTTCTGACAGTCCCGAACAGTTGGATGGCACAGCCCTGTACCGGGGGCAGGAGATGCCAGTCATGGCAATGGAGTTAGTGTCCGGTCAGCTTGTTCTGGCCTCCCGCTTCCCGTCTGTATCCTGATGCTAGTAGTAAGCGTTCGTCAGCCTCTCACCATTAGTCTGTCTTCCCTCACCCAGGCCGTCTTGTCAGATGAGCCCAGAGCCTAGTTTCTCCACAGTGGAATCTGAGACTAACAGAGATTTTCCCGTAGGACCAGCAATTTGGATTTTCCAACATCCACATCCACGGGTCCTTGTGTGCAAACTTAACTGCCCAGGGCTGTCCCCGCTCAGGGAGCTTGGACATATGTCCTCTGGGCATCTTTGGCCAGACAGTTGCCCTCTGGAGCCTGGACCCTTCTTCCCTTGCCTGCCATGCTGTGTTCAGCTTCAGTCCCCAGGGGACCATGTCACCCCTACCGCCAATGTTTTAGGTTTTTTTTTTTTTTTTTTTTTTTTTTTCTCGTTTTTTTTCACTTGGGGCCAAAAGACCAGTGAAATTGTAATCTTCAGTTAAAAAAAAAAAAAAAAAAAAATGCCATTCTAACTCTGGAGTCCTTTGTTTTTTACCATGACTTCCCAGCTACAGGTTTATACTTACCCATTCATTCACTTATTCTTTCATTCTGCAAATATTTCAGTACATACTGTATACCAAGTCATACAGAAAGAAGCAGCTGCAGGGAGGGGCAGGCTGCGTCTGGGTGCAGCTGGGGTGGCGGGCCACTCACTTCCTGTGGCCAGGTTCACTTCTCTGTGACTGAGGATCAACTCTGGATGCTGACCAAGTTTCATGGAAGTTTTAGATGGGCGCGTAGGCTAGAAGTAGCCACCCCAAACTTTTCCCATCTTGGCCTTTTTATTATTTCTGGCCTGAGTTTTATCATGTAGACAAACTCCATTTATGAAGTCATAACTTTGCCCCCGTTTTTATTAAGCACAGACATCTGTACCTGCCAGTTGGATCTCTAGATCAGCGTGATAGCCAGTCTACATTGGAAGTCTGTAAGGAGCTGACAGAATTTCAATCAAGAGCTGAAGACACCAGACAATCTAGTTTGCCAGGGGAGCCTTATCACTGGTAATGGTGTGATTATCCTTTGGCTTTTGGAGATGAAGATAAGAGCTTTGAGGCCTCTGCTCCCTGCAGTGCAAGGAGCAGCTACAACTGTTTAGTGAGCCTGCAAGGCCCAGCAGGGAAGTCAGGCTCTGCCAGTTTAGCCTCCTCCTTTGTACAGCTGTGCCACTGGAATCCAGAATTAGATGGGATCTAGTTCTCAGAGGCCAGGCCCCATCTACAGCCAATATCCCCTCCCAGCACACCCTGGGAGTCCAGCTTCTCCTTGCAAGACTTCAATGACAAAAAGGCTCAGGGCCTCACCAGCTAGCTCGTTTCCTCTTTAACTGGTAGAAACTCCTTCCTGGTGTGGATTCTAAATCCTGTCACCTTGGCAACCCTAGCTGTTGACTCTGGTTTTCTCTTTAGGGCCACATGACCCTTCCTGTATGCCAGTCTTCTGGGTAGTGTGGCTTGCTACCTACCCCCCATCCCTACCCCCATGTTCCCAAGTGCTCCCCAAGGCTGTATAGCCCTGGGCTCTTCAGCTGCTGCTTACTGGGTGCCTACATTGCCCACATGGAAGCATAAAGCCCGTCATGCTGCTGGGTCTAACTGCATAACCATCGGGCAGACCTGTAGCCATTAGCGGAGGCTCCTGTTGTCTGTTCCTGCTGACTGTGCCCTGAAACCCCCTTTGCTTAATTTTTACATGGTACTGGGGAATCAGTCTCAGACCTTGCACATGCAAGACAGCTGCTTTACCCCAGAGATACACTTTCAGCTCCGAAACCCATCTTCAGGATGGTGTCATTCACTGTCTCCACCTTGGTGGAAGAACTCAAGACCTGGGTAGATCCATGCAGGATGGTTGGCTCTGGGCTGAGGGCCCAGTCCTCATGCCTTGTTCTGCATGCTTCTCCTTTAGACCTGCCTATGAGCTCTGCAAACAGCTCTGCATCCCAAGGCCAGTGGGAGCACAGAAGAGCAGATAGCCTGTCCCTCCTGGCAGTAACTGCACTGTCCCCTTTGAGCTAGGGCCGTGCTGGTGACTCATGGGAAGATGATATACAGCACACCATCCGCCTGTTCTGGGTAAAGTGGGGTGCCTAAGACGAGCCATGCCTAGGCACCCCTGGGTTGGACCCCACGGCCCACTCTGCTTCTCGACAGCTGAGGTCAGGGAGCCCGTGGCTCCACTAATCAACTTAAGCTGACCTGGTGGTGTGCATGGCTGAGCTGCCCCGGGCCAGATGTCTGCTGCGCCTCCCAGCAGAGCAGCACTTCAGAGCGTGCTCATGTCCTGCTCTGCCAATGAGGATCAGGGCCTCTGGCAGCCCTATAATCATCTCGGTGGCAGCTGGAGCACGTCTGGCCAAGTCTATAGCTTTTCCTTTTTATCCTATGAGTTCACAGAGAATAAAGAAGCCCTGATTTCCGAGAAGGTGAGGGAACAGCAAGTCCGTTCACCTGCTGCCTGCCCACCCTATCCCCTTGTTAGAGGGTACTGGGCTGGGAGCAGGCGGTGTGTCAAAGGTCATTGTGGGCATCAGGGGCTTGGCACCAGAGGAGCAGCACTGTGCACTCTGAGGCCTGGCCACGTCCGAGTGGGCTGGGGCAGGGGAGGTGTGCAGATAATAGCATTCCAGTACCTTCTTGTCTTGCCTTCCCCCAGCTGCCCCACCTTCTCCTAACCTGAGCAGCACAGATTTTGTGTAATGACAAGGAAAGGGAACATTCAGTACCAGGCTTTTAATTACGATTGCTTTGGGCTGCTGGCCTCCATGCTGAATGACTGTGTGGAGAGTGTTTTATCACAACGCAAAGCCAACAGGGTCCAACCTATTGTGCGTGCACTCAGAGCCTGGTGAGGCTGGGCTGTGCGTGTGGCCTCACTGGAGGGCTGGGCCCAGCTTAGTTCACACAGGCATCAGGGCAACTGGCCAAGTGCAGCCTTGGGCATTAGGGAGCCTCTGAGCCAGATGGAAATGCTGCGGGGACCTTTATGGCAGATGCCAGGGAGGGTCTATAATTGGCAGGAAGGAGAAGGGTCTTTGGGAGGAAGGCCAACATTGAAGATGAAGAGGGCAGGCAGTACTGTCAGGTATGGCCAAGCAAGAGAAGTACACTAGTAACCATATCCACAGCACTTCACAGTTTACAAAGAGCTTTCCACTTCCTTGGGCATGCTTAAGCTTCACATCCACCCTGCTTAGAGGACATAAGCTCAGAGGGGAGAATCACTTGCTCAGTCACACAGGCAGCAAAATCAGCACTGGAGCATCAGCCTTTCACTGCAGCCAGCAGCCTTTCCAAGGGGAGATCCCAGGAGCCAGAGAAGCGGCACAGGCAGGAATCAGCTGCTTGTCCCAGACCCTCCAGGGTGGCCCTCGGGCTCAGGGCAGCACCGTGGTGACACTGGTGAGTACCACATGCTCGGAGACTTTGGAGACAGAGCAACGGCTCTGCAAAGACAGGGACTTGTGACTGGTAGAGGAGCGGGAACTGGCGTCCTTCAGAGAGCTGCAGGGACCCATGCCAGGCAGGCAGCAGGAGAAGGCAGCCTTAAACTGCTCCCGGAATTTGCCTTGGTTGGGAGACAAAAGCCACAGCCATAAGGATACAAATGCAATGGGAAGGGGCCTTGAGCCCAAGTGACACCCACACTGCTCCAGCCTAGCTGCCTGCGAGGGGCAGGGAGAGAGGGTAGAGCTGGGATGGAGAGCCCTAGGGCAGCCTCAGCTCTGCCAGGGAGAGTGAGACAGAGGCCCCAGCCTGTTCCTGAGCAAAAATGCAATTGTCATCTGATTCCTTGACTGCACTCTGGCTTAGAGCCTGACTTAAGACGTGGCGTCTGGCTCAGGAGCCTCAGGTCACCTCTGCCCCGCTCATGCATATGTGGAGAGGGCTCAGGGCTCTGTTGCTAGGCTTTCCCCAGTTCTGGCCTGTGAGATGAGATGGCAACCGGCCTTTGCATGTGGCAGTCACACTGTGCCGGGCACCCTGAGCATCCCCGCACCCTGAGAGGCTGTAGTGCGTTGTCCTTGCTTCACAGAGATAGAACAGCTTGCCTAGCTCCACCAGCCAAAAACCTTCTTTGAAAAATGAAGAGAGAGAAGGGAGCACTGCACACCGCCCTACAGAGCCCATGATTAGCTGGGGAACGGAGGTGTTTTGGACACCTAACCCTCCCTGATCAGGCATCTCTGGTGCTCAGCATAAGGCAATGCACACAGTAGGTGCTCAGTAAGTGCAGATCAGCTAAAGACATCAGGAAGGCACTTGCCCTTTCCTCTCCTGGTCTCTGAGCTGGAGTCCAGGGAAGTAATTCTTGAGCTGCAGTGAGGATTTTACTGTTGAGCTCCCATCTCTTCAGGAGCCTCGGGTCTGAGGTCTTGTGAATCCTGTTGAATCAAGCCTGGAGGGCCAGGCCATTCCCTGCCTGAGACTAGCGGGGAGAGGTGGGAGCTGTAGGAGCTCAGGAAGCCCATGGCAGGAGCGGGGTCCAACAGGGTGGGTCTTCCAGCGGGAAGAGTCAGAGGGTTGTTGCTTGGGGTGGATCCAGGAGTAGCCCCCAAGATTCTGGCCATCCTGGCAATGTGTGTATCTGGGCAGCAGAACCCCTTTTGTATACCTGGACTGCCACTGCTGGGTTTTGTTTTGTTTTTGTCTTTAGTACAGGGTCTACAGGATCTCACTACATAGATAAGACTAGTAGTGATTCTCCTGTTTTCAGCCTCCCAAGCACTGGGATTACAGGCGCGTGCCACCACGTCTGGTCTCATTCACCGGACGACTGCTGTTGATGCTGTTTTTTCTGACTACTGGATTATGCAGTCATGCCCTCAGGCAGGGGCTCCTGACCCCCTCATCTCCTGGCCTGGCTTCCTCTGGGAAGATGGACTGCTACAGCCCTGCCCCTGCTCTTCCATTTGCTCACTAGTGCTCAGTCTGCTGTGCTATCCTGGGTGCTGGCCACTGTTAGAACTCTGCCCCTTGGATCAGGGTTCCATGCCCAGGAGAGAGCAGGTAAATCCTCCTGTACTGGGCCCTGGATTGGGATGAGGCTTGTTCCAGAAGCCACTCTTATTCACTCTTCCTGCTCAGCCCACTCACCACTGAGGAAGTTGTAGATGATGGGGTTGGCAGCGCTGTTGGCGTACACCAGCCAGTGGGAGAAGGTGAAGCAGGCGTAGACAGCTTCTCGGTCACTGGCTTGGCGGAACATCCCAAACACCCTAGCATGAGGGGAGAGGATAGTCAGGAATGGAGTGTTTGTGGGGTGGTCCTCATAGATCTTCAGGGTTGCCACTACCCACATCTGCCCACTGCATGGCCCTTGCCCAGCTCTGGGTCTTCCCTACAGTTTTGCAACCTCAATACAGTATGACTAGGGACAGGCACCAGGCTGTGTCTGCCATCGTCCATTCCCCTGGGCCCTCATCCACCTCCTCATGCATCCTCACAGCAACATGGGGAGTCGTAGACATCATCTGCCTTTCAGTTAGGGAAACTGAGGCTCAGAGAAGAAAGGTGACATGTTCAAGGTCACATACCAGGGCACAGCCATGCACAAACCTAGACTCTCCTGTACAACCATCCATACTCCTTCCTCAGCCCCCAGGGCCCTTCATCTGCCGTGCTCCTGTGTCCCTCTGCCTAGACTGCTGTCTTTCCAGACCTCTCTAGGCACGTGCCCTTACTCCCAGTCTCTGCCCAAGTGGCATTTCCTCCAAGGACCTTTAAAAATGACTATTATATCCAAAACAACAATTCCCCACTTCTATCCCTCTCTAGCCTCTTTCCCTATTTTACCTTCTTTCCCAGCAACTATGGCTGTCCAGTACCACACATGGATTTTTCTACTTTCTTTCTCTCACAGTGGAGAGTAGCTTCGGTCAAGGCTGCACCTTTGTCTGCCTTGTGCACCTGTTCACCCTGCGACTTGATGACAGTGGTGCCTAGGACCCACAGTCCATTTAGGGGTTGAGGCGATGAGGAACAGAGCTCAGAGAGCAGCAGCTTACCCCCGTCACACAGTGCAGAAGTGAGGGAGCAAAGAGTTCCTTCATCAGCCCCACAATTCTTCCCCCCACCTCCTCTCTCTGTACTCTCACCTCTTGAGGACATTGAGGACGCTGATTGGCAGGTAGCAGAGGGCGAAGACCAGCAGCACCACCATCAGCATCTTGGCCGTCTTCCTCCGAGCTCGCATCTGCTTCACCTCAGCCAGAAAAGCGCGGGCCCGGGGCTGGGGCTCGGTGCTGGGGCCCTGGCCCTGCTCCTCCAGCTGGTCTGAGGGCCGCTTCCAGTTCCGTACCAGGGCTGAGGTGGTGCCGGGGATCTGTCCGGCAGACACAGACACAGCAGGGCTGGTACGGCTCCTGGGAAGGGCCATTCTCTCTTGCTGGGGGCGGCTCCAGGCTGGACCATGGAGCAGGGTGGAGGTGAGCAACAGAATAAACTCTAGCAATAGGACAAACTTGGTGCTTATGATAAAGACAAGCTTGCCAGACTTGGGGTGGCATCACACACCAGGGCAGGACAGGGCTCCATGATTACAGCCGCATTCTCCATTATTGGCTCACTGTGAAACCACCTACAGCATGCTTTTGGAAAGGTCTTAGTAGCCCTTTGCCGCCAGGAGCCTCAGTTGGGGACCCTTGGCAAGGCCCCGGGCACTTATCTTCCTTAACCTCCAGCTCTGTCTTTGGGGTGGGCTGAGTCGTGCCTCTGTCTGGCCTGTGTCAGACTGTGAGGAGGACTGGCCTAGGGACAATGAGGGCAGCAGGATGGCTCTGGGCCTCAGAGCATGAGTCCCTGCCTGGGTCCACGTCCATAAACCTGGGTGATACGGAGCTCCTGGAGCAGCCACAGGCATCCTTGAAGCCCCCAGTCCTGCCGTCACCATGGGAACGCAAATCACCCCACAACAGAGGGCGATGGGCTGGAGTGCAGGAAACAAAGTCTGGAGTTGGCTTTGACAACCATGAGCCATGTGGCCTTCCAAGCCTTGGGTTCCTTTCTGTCACATGAGGAGGACAGTGTCTTTGCCCTACAGGCAGGCCTAAGAGGCTGGGAGGAGCAGACGGCAGGGTGTGGTGGACCCAGGCATGCCCGCATGGCAAAGCCTGGATCTAACCATCTCCCCACCCACTCCTGCATGGCCTGAGTGTGTGTGAGTACTGGGTATGGAAGGTGACATCCGAACTTGAGCACACTCTGGCCTGCGCATTCTCACTGCCGGGTGCTGACCCAGTCTTACTCTGGCTTGTGCTGAGGTCTCCGAACATCCCTCTCCCCATGAAACCCACTTGTAGAGGAGCACAGGAGTCAGCCCTGGAACTGGCAGGCTCCACCCTCACTGGCCTTGGCAGGAGGGCTGCTCCTGCTCAGCACTGCGACGGGGTAATTCTACCTCTCTTGTTAGACCCTTGTAGACACTGGATGCAAAGCCTGATTGGGCAAGCAACGTGAAGCTGCTGTTATTGTGGTGGTGGTGCTACATGTAAGCATTGGAACCGCATGGAGCTAGGTTTTTATCTCTGATTCTGTACTCACTATGTGAGTGCTTTGGGGGGCCTTTCAGTGCTCTTCAGGGTCTCTATTACCTATTAAGTGGGGGAATAAGATGTGGTAGCAAAGAGGCTGCAAGATCATTTGGGCCAAGTGGCACAATAAATGGCAGCTACTGAACTAGAAGGATGTTGGTCACTCTTGTGCCCTTTTGGGTCTTGAGAGCCCATGTCCCTAGGCCTGGCCACCGCTGGCTGCAGCCAGAGGGTGTGTTCCGAAGGCAGAGGCATGTCTGCTCCCTTAGACTGGTGGCCCCACCCCTCCCTGCCCAGCCAGTGCTACCAGAGTGGGCCTCACCTGGCGGCCCCAGAGCTTGCGGAAGATCTGGAAATAGGCCATGGCCATGAGGCCGAGCGGGGCCAAGTAGGTGACGATGAAGAAGCAACTGTGGTAGATCTTGGGGTAGAGTTCATCTGGAGGAGCCGAGAGACATAAGGATCAGCCAATCTCAGAGCCCCATCCTGTCCTGAGAGTGATGCCACCGTGTCCCAACCAGGGCCAAAGAAAGGCTTGGGGAAGCTCCATCCCATGTGGGCACCATGGCAGAGTCCATTTTAGAGGGACCCTCCAGCAGCTAGGAATACCCATACTAGAGGTCCCCTGATAGATGCGCACCATTACCTGCCCAGTGTTCGTCGCACACAGAGAAGAGCCGGGTGCGGTTGGCTAGCTCGGGCAGCACACTGCTACATTCCATGACAGCAGCCTGGGGCACCATGACAGCCAGTGACACGGCCCAGATGCCCAGGATGGAGCCTCGGGCACGCCGGGCAGTGCTCTTGAACAGCAGTGGGTGGCAGATGGCATACCAGCGGTCCAGGGCGATGAAGCTGAGTGTCAGCACTGCCACTGACACCGATACGGCCTGCCTCACGGAAATACAACATTAGAGGCATGAGGGGTAGTTGTCTGGGGTTGGGGGCACTGCTCAGAGCTACTCGGTAGAGTACAAATCTTGAGTCTGCCACTTACTAGAGTCATCTGGGAAGTCACAAATCTCTGAGCCTCATCTGTAGAATGGGAATATACCACCTACCTGGCAGGATACTGGTGACACTTAATAAACTCATGTATGAAAAATGTTGAATGAGAGATCTGGCACAGGACAGGTGTCCCCCTATTGTAAATTTTTATTTATACTTATGGAACTTGCTGTGTGACATACACTGTTCTCCTGATCCACACAACAACCCATCAGATGGGTGCTATGTTATAGATGAGGAGCCTGAGGCACAAAATTCTCTTTGTCTTCATGCTTAAGATCACCACAGCTAATCAGCCGAGCAGAAAGCCTCAAAAGATTGGGAAACCCAAGAGGGACTTCTTTCACCCGAGAAAGCCACCATTTCCTCAAGAGGTTGAGAAAAAGTTCTCATTCTGGGAGGCAGAGATGAGTGTGGGCCAGCAGTGTAGGAGGCATGGCCTCCAGGGGTGGCCTACACACATCTGGTCCCCCAGGGGTCAGGAAGCAGGTCCACTGTTAGTGTCTGTGTCACTGTAGGCTTGTCCCTCTCTCTTCTGTGCGCCCATGTGCTCAGGTGACTGTGTGTGTGTGTGTACACGGCCTGCCCTTGCCGGCAGTAGGGATGACTCTGCAGGGATGCTGAGCCACTGTGATCTGTCTGACAGGCAAGCCTGAGGGCCAACAAGACCTACATAAAGCGGTGGGCTGCTTTGGAAAAGTGTGATGTATGGGCATCGGTGAGTGGTGCCCACAGAGCTCACCTGAAGGTAGGGGATGATCTTGCAGAGGGTATGGCCGAAGAGCCAGGACTCAGTGATATCCACCAGCAGGCTGGCGGGCAAGCAGATGGCCGTTACCAGCACATCAGCCAGGGACAGGTTGACAATGAAGTAGTTGGTGACCGTCCTCATGTGGTGGTTTCGCCACACTGCCAGGCAGACTGAGCCATGGGGGAGAGAGGAAGAAACCAGCGGCAAAGCCATGCCCACTCCAGTTCACACCCAGCCTGGGAGTCCCCTGATCTTTACAGGCCCAGGAGCCCCTCCAGTCCCTAGGGGAGCCCTCAGTACCACAGCACAAGAAGCAGACCTACCCAGGGTGTTGCCCACCAGGGCTATAAGGAACACGACCACATAGGCTGCGATGAGAACCCACTCATACTGCTTCGGGTACAGATAGTCACGCCACAGATAGCGCAGAAGCTCGTCTTCGTAGTCTGGAGGCATGGGGGATGGCTCCCCACTGCCAGTGGGGACCCCAGGCTGGGCCCCTGAGGTGGTCGAGGGCTCCATGAGATCAGGAGCCTCTGCAGCCGAGGGGCATCCTGGACTCTGCGGGGATGGGGGAGTCTGGTCCAGTCCTCAACTTGCACCCAGGCTTTTGGGGTCTCAGCCTAAAGCTCCTGGAAGGAGGAAGGAAACATTAGGGATGGTGCCTGGAGCTTTGAATGTGGACGGCCTCCTAGTTCTCAGCTGTGGACCTGGGTTACGGCCGAATTCCACACGGATTGCTCGGGTGTCGGTTACCTCATCCCCTTCACCCTCCATTTCGCCATCCAGTGCAGTCCAACGGTACCTACCTTCCAGGGGCACGGCGAGGAGCAACGTGCTCTAACCTGTGCTGAGTGCTGGCACAGGAGGCTGGCCTTACAGACGCTGCCTGTACCATTATCGAGCCCTGCTCTGCGGATGAGGAGAGGTTGTGCCCCTTGCTCCAGGTCACAGAGCGACTAAGCCAAACCTGATGGAATCCACCAAACACTACAGATTTGGGAAAAGCTGTTCCGATTGCAAACATTCTTTTTGTGTGCATTCATAGGATTATTTTTGGTCAGAAAAAAAGGATCAAGGCAGGTGTTAGAGACCAAGGTCCCGCCCACCAGACCCTGCCCTGTGGGTGCACGCACAAATGTCCAGAAAAGATGCAGGGAGACGGTAGTGACCACCCCCCTGGCTGCTCTCCTCCGCCCCCCATATCCCACCCTGCGGGGTGCTTGGGTGCACAGCTAGGCCCTGCTCCCAGCCCCGGGCCGCGATGCTCCCCTGTGGCCGCCAGGGGTCGCTAGGTGGGTGTGCAGGCCGCTCTCCATTCATAAATCCGGCCTCGCTCCCGGCGCCTCCCTCCTGCCTAAAACCCCTCCTTCTCCGGGGCTGGGCAGGGACGACCCCGGACGTGTGTAGTAGGGTTAATGGTCCCTGGAGACCCGTGGGGGTGAGGGAGGGGATTCTGCATCCCGTGGGGTTCGGCCGGCCGGCTTCCTCGCCGGGACCTCCCTGCACCTGGAGGCTGCGGGGAACTGCGGAGGGTGAGCAAGAGCGCTTGGGGTTCCGCAGGAGCCTGCCTGGAGGTGAGCAGAGTCGGATGATGACCCAGCCTCCCAGCATCCAGGTTACCCACCCGCAAGAGTCGGCCCCCCTCCTCCCCCCCCCCGCCACAGGTCCTTCGGAACCCTGAGCCCTAGCCCAGGGGTCCCCCCACACCCCGCACCTGTTGGCTTCGGAACCTGGGCGTTTTCAGCTGCTGGTCCCTCGACCATGCGCCCGGAACTTCGCCTTCCTCTGGGAAAGGCTGGGCCCCTGAGCGCGGGGTTGGGGAGAGGGCCAAGCAGCCCCCTCCCGAGGCGCCGCTGCCTGAGTCCCCGGCTGGGCGCAAGCCCTGGCTTCAGTGCGGGCGGTGGCTCGGCGCGGGCTTCACAGAACTGCGCGCTCTGGGGAGGGAAGCCCCAGCCCGGTCTGGGCTCCAGGTCTCCCAGCCTGAGACCCAGAGGAGGGTGGGACGAGCTCATCCTCCTCGCCTGTCACTTCACGCTTGCATCCTACCTCCATTCATGCGTCCACCCGTTCATTCATAAGGTCCGCGTTCATTCAACATTTATGTTCCCCGCCACCGCGCATTCAGGGCACGCCTAATGTGTGCAGAGGTCCCCGGCAGCGTCCGGCCCCACCTCTCCTCGCCGCCTACCTCTCCCATGAGGATGGTGGCACAGGTTGGTCGCAGGGATGACAGGCTGCCTGCACCTCTTCCAGCCACTCTCTGGGTGCTGCTGGAGCAGCTCTCAGCGATGCCAGAAAGCCTTGCTCTCATCTCCTGGTTGTATCGGCCCTTGAGGCTGATTTTTTGTTCATACTTACCTTTGCCCTCCCAAGACAGGGATGGTGGTGAAGACAGGAGAGGAAAGCCAGAGGGGCTCAGGAATTCAACAAATATCTACCAAGCTGTGTGTGAGGCAACGAACCTATATAATCGCGCTGCCATTCCTATAGGGTACGAGGAGCATGATCTCATTTAATCACCACACCAACCTGGTGAGGGAGCTGATGCTGTTCCCATTATACAGATGGGGACTGGCTGAGCTTGGCTCAGTGATTTGCCCAAGGTCACCCAGAAGAGTCAGAGTTGGGCTCAAGGCTGGACTCCTTTCAGTTCTGGCTGGTAGGTGAGCTGCCAGGCACCTCACCTATGGTGTGTGTGGAGCTGGGAGGGAATTCAGGGCGCAGTGGGGCAGGTGGCACTGCCAGGGCTTCCTAGAACAGGAACGCCTACATGGAGATTTGAAGAATGAGAATGCGGCCTTGCAGGGGGCTGGTACTGGAGGAGAGGTCTTCAGGGTAGAGGAAGCAGCAGGTGCAAAGGTTTGTGGCCTTCTAGGAGTAACAGGTGGGTGAAAGGTCACACCTTGGCTTCTGGCAGTCACTCTGGCCATTCTCTGCCTCAGGACAGGAGCTCCCTAGCATACAGACCCCACCCAGCTTTCTCAGCCTTTAGCTTCCCACGACTCCTCTCCTTCTCTACTCCTTTGAGGTGACTGCTTGGGTGACCTCCATCTTCCTCTGCAGTCAAAGCCCTTTGCAAAGGTGCTGGGGAAGCTCTGCTGGGCAAGGGACACATGGGAGGGGAGCTCGGGCAGCACCCTGAGGGGCCCATGGACTTGCTTCCGCAGAACAGAAGGCAGGGCTGAGGCTAACCCCACAGCAGAACTTTCTCCTGGGTGTCTGCACCTCGGGTGATGAGTCATAGATCCTGGTGATTCCAAAACTCTCACCTGCTCTAGGAGCTGTCTGGGGTGGAGGAAGAGATGTGGAACTGAAGAAGAGAGGGACTGGCTGGGGGGTGTGTATGTGTGTGTGTGTGTGTGTGTGTGCGTGTGTGTGTGTGTGTGTACACCTGTATGGGGGAGTCATTGTGTCACAGATGGGTTGTGTGTGTCTAGGTTGTGAGGGTTTTTGTCTCCTTGCATGCGGGTCAAGGACAAGCTCGAGTTGATTGGAGGTCAGCCTGGGTGGGGTGCACCTGTGGGTGTCTTGATCTGTTCCTGTATTTTGGTGCTTGGGTCTGTAAGGTACACGTTGGGGGAGGGGTCTATCTGAACTGTATTCTGAGCAGCACTGGCCTCTGGTGTGCTCCCCTGTGAACGCGGGAATACCTTTGTGTCTGTGACTGAGTGTGTGAATGTGGAACTTGGTACATCTGCTGCCACAGTGATGACTCAGCCCTCTGAGACATTCCCCCCACCCCAACCTCTCATCTAAAGCTGCAAGCCCTTGTTGAGTACAGACTGGGGAGGGGGCTGCAGACTGGAGAGGGGGGATGGGAGGCAGATCATGCAGGGACAATCAAAGGACAGCTGCAACAAACGGGATGCAGGCCCTGAAGCGGAAGGTGCAGATCTGCCTGTGTGTGGGCGGTGGGTACCAGCTGAGCCCACACAGCCTAGTCTCAGAACCCAGCCAAAGCTGAGAACTATGTAATTTACAGCCTCCCAGACAAGCGGGGTCAGAGTGAGCAGAGGGCTCCCCAAGTCCTCCAGTCATTTCATGAGGGTGTATGTGTCTAGGTGGGGAGTGAATCACAGCTAAGAGTCTCCCCACCCCAGGCAGATTGTATCCACTTTCTCAGAGACAGTCCCATCATTCCTTATGAGGGAACCTGAGTCTCCAACTTTCTCCTCTTTATTCCTATGTATATTTGGTCCTCTTTATTCCCCAAATAGCTGCTTGCTCAATAAGAGATCATAGGTAACAAATCTTTTCCTCCCAAATCAGACCTAGGCCAGCAGGAAACTGCAGGCACCAGGTCCCTCCGGGCCTGAGGGAGTTCAGCCCACTCAGGTATAATCTGAGGGTGGGGAAGCCTGTTATTTGGCCTAGCTGGACCGGATGGAGACTCCAGAGTCTGTGCTCGGGGGGATTCTTGGGGGCCCCAAGGCCAGTGGTACCCTGGCAGACTCGTAGGAGTAGCAGTTGCTTGGTTTTTGGTCGTAGCAGCACTGGCTTTGGGAGCTCCTGGCAAAATGCCTGGGCCTAGGAGAGACCAAGAACCTCTCCAGGCTGGGCCCTTGGTCCTGGCGCCTGCTCTGCCCAGGGAGGACCGACTTGAGCTTTGCTCAAGCTGTCTGTCAAGTGGTACCCACATGACCTCTTTCCTGGAACCAGCCAGCCCCAGCCATGTTGATCTAATCCTGAGTCTCCAAGCCATAGGTCCCTATCAAATCCGTCTTCAAGTGTCAGCCTGGGCAGTGGCCTCAGGTGCTTACCCCTCCTCCACTCTCAATTTGGCTGTGACTTACAGTAACCTCTGTCTGGCAAGGACTGGAGCAATTGAAATATAATTCGGTTTTCCACTTGCTAATGCTCCTGCAGGCCTGCAGGTGTGCGGGAGACTCTGGATGGGCAGGGGTGCCTTTTCAAGAGGAGAGCGCTCAGAAAACAAGCAAGAGTAGAGGCAACCAGGACTGGGTTGTGGGCCTGGAAAGTGGGTGTTAGGTCTGGGGAGGCCACCAGGCAAGCAGTGGGGTTTAGATGCTTGGGCCAAGCTGCACTGGCCTCTGAGAACACCTATAAAGTAGGCATTCCCTGTTGGGGGGCACAGAGAAGTGTCCTCTGTGTTCTGGGCTGGGCCCTGTGTTCAGCCTATGGCCCGATTGCCTCAGGTCTTGGTGGCTTGAAGAGGCCAACACTAGGAATGCAGGAGCCCCGAGCCCAGAGTCCAGCATCCTTCATGGCTGTGAAAGCTATTGAGATTGTTTGTGTTAGTTTTTTGAGACACTGTCTCACTAGGTAGCCCTGGCTGGCCTTGAACTCACTCCCTAGGTAAGGCAGGAAAAAATGATTGGAGAGAGCAGTTTTCTACCCATTCACTCATCCATGTGCTCACTCAACACATGCTGATGGCTGGCCAGAGAGAGGGGCTGCTGTTTAGGCTGGAACACCTTGACATAGACCAGGGCTTCGGGATGGTACTGATACCTGTAGAAGTCAGGCAGGAAATGGACTGGATTTGGGACAGACAGTGATAACGTATGTGAGCCCAAAGAGAAAACTGGCCGATCTCCAGAGTGTGCCGGGTCTAGTGCCAAGGGGAGAGCAGGAGCACAGCGCTGGGGCCAGAAAAGCTAGACAGCCAGCTCGGCTGCCTATTACTG